CTGGGAGAGGCAAACCCAGACAGAACCTGGGGTAACCTCCTTTACCAGTGACCCCCCTTCATCCCACCCTGGTACTGCCCCTCCAAGGGGGAGGGGGCTGTGGGGGCCCTGAGCCAGCTTGTTACTGGATGGACTGAGATCCGAGCACGGAGAACGCTGGCTTGGTTCCAGGGGTTCCCAGGCTGAACATTAAACTAGCCGAGGATTTGAGAGCATGAGTGGGGACACCGAGAAGCTCTTCTTGGCTGCATCTTTATGCAAGGGACATTCTCAGGACTAGAGATGTGCCCCTGGAGATGGGTGTCGTGGGCTTCCCTCTGAACTCTTAATTGCCAGTCAGTGCTCGAGTCCCGGCAGAGCTCGGGGTGGCAGCAGAAGCTGTTTGTTTGCTAATTGCTGTGTGTTTGCCCCCTTGTCGCCTCCAGTCAAAGCTGACATGCTAAATCCATGATCTGCGGGAGATAAGGGGGACCTCCCTTCCACTCCCGTGGGCTGGGTCTGTGGGCTTCAGTGACTTTTTTTTTTTTTCCCCCTAGATAAAATGAACAAAAATTCTGTGTCCCATGACGGCTCTGATAAGCTGGAGGCTCCAGACATGCCCCGGCACAAATTCCCATTATAGCCTTTGTTTATTTAAAAATAAAAAGCCTAACCTCACTATCTTGATTACGGGAAAAAATATATAAATGTGCCAGAAGCATAATTGGTGCCAGTGGAAACCAAAAATGACCCTTTGCTTTCCCCCTCCACCCACCTTTTTCACAGTGTAGTGGTTTGCTGGGAGGGAGCTTTTCTTAGGTATTGCTGTGGGGATCCTTCTCCATGGACCAGTAGAGCCTTCTCCAAAACATTACCAGTCTCAGATGCTTCAGGGGATGGTGGAAGGAGCCTTGTAAAATTCCAGGTGGAATAACGTATCCCTGACTCTCAAACTGTCATTTGAATGCTTTTGAGATTATCTTGAGGGCAGCAGTAACATGCCCTAGAAGTACTTATGAAAATCTCGTTATCAGCATCTTTTATAATGCCGGATCATCCTGTTATTTAGATAATTGTGCAGTCTGTTCCCTCTGAGCCTGCTGATTGCTGGCCATGGGCAGTGATACCGTGTTATCAGCTTCTCCTGGTTCTTCAGATGTGCTGAAAGACCTGAGTTGTGCCTGAGGACAGATGGTCCCTGGGTGCCTTTGGGGCTGGTGGCATTCTCCTCTCAGCTCCTGGGGCACTGCACGGCTCCCCAACCCTGGGAAGTGAAGGAAAGAGGAGAGGAGAGCCATCTAGGAGATCCCATGCCCACCTCCACTGCTACTGCCTCTGTTCTTCTGCAAGACCTTTTCCTGGGCTGGTGGCTGTTCCCAGTTAACACCCTTTTAGCTCTGCTGACCCTCATCATGGATGTGACCACAACTGGTGCTGTGCATGCTGTGGGCAAGGTTTCCTGTCACTGTCTAGGGCTGAGCAAGTTGTGTGGGACTTGTGTTAAGCCAAGTGGCCCTCAGTGCCACCATGAGCCAGGTGAAAGCCATCCTGGGAGGGCTGGAGGTTGAGCTGAGCCTTTGAGGTTTGCACTGCAGGGTTTTTGTGGGAGCCCTGTGGTGATGGTGACTGAGTGATGAATTTCATGGGAGGATTATTGTCAAACAATGTGCTTTTGTGCAATTATATGGTGTCTTTTAAATAATCTCCTCTAATGAGTCTGTCCACACCCAAACAAAATAAACATTCTGAGAGCCTGCAAAGATAAACACTCAATGGCTACCCTTAAAGCCATCCTTTCTCCCTCTCCTGACAGACACCTGCTCCATTTCCTGGAAAGGAAGAGTATCAAGGAATGCTGAGTTAAGATTATACAACACAAATGTTTTCGATTAATAACTTTCTAAACTTTCATTTCACAGCATCAACATCTTTTCTAATCAGTGACTTTCTCGGAAAGGAGAAAGTGAAAGCTGGGACATTCTGTCTCCTCCTTGCTCTGTCTTTCTAAGATGAATGTTTTCCTCTCACCCCTTTGAGGCCCTGCAGGGTTCTCAGTGCTGATGTCCACGGGGACAGACTGGGCTCACAAGCCTTGTTCCACATCACTAAGTTGATTTCCAGTTTGCTTGCATGTATTTTTGGGCATGTGTTGTCCTTGGGCTGTGCAGAGCGCTTTCTGTGGGGGTGCTGACCAAGCTGGTGGGTGAAAAAGGTGTCAGTTTGGCCACCACTACCCATCCACTGCTTTTGTCTCACTCCTCTGAAGTTTTCTCAGCTTTCCTTTGTAGTAGCTTGTGGAAGAGAGAATTTTAACCCCTCATGCTGTTTTCTAGGTTCATAAAGTGGTGATTGCAATGGGGAGTTAGTAATTTAAGGTGAGGAAATTGCCCTAATGAAACCACCTGCTTATTTCTCCTCTTTATCCACTCCCTAATTCATTTGCTTTTTTGCCATTTCTCATGAATTTGTGTTCTCTTCAACAGCGTCTTGTGAAGGGTCTCATCAAAGAGGGCATAAAAACCTAACTGTGTTGTCAATCAGTCGCCCTCTTTGTTCACCCATCCCCTTTCCCTGGTGAGACTTGTTCAGGCTAAAGCCAGTCTCTGCTGAGAACCCCAGATGGAAAAGTGCTCTGCTTTTAATTAGCATCTTAATTAGTTTATCAGGCGTTGGCACCACACTAACCAAATTGTCATTCCTGGATGCACTTTTCAGCAGAGCTCTTGTTCTTGCTATCCTTTAGTGCTTAATTTTTCTTAGTTATCACAAAGTGTATCTTTTTATTGGTTCAGGGAGATATTCCTCTGAAGTTCAGTGTTAGCTGAGCTGGGTAATGCATCTTTTTTTTTTTCCCCCCCAATAGCCAAATCACTTCAGTTTTTCTTCTTCTGCCCAGCTCTAGATAGTGCCTGATCATTAATCCCAGAAATGTGCTGTGGTAGGAAAGGTAGCCCTGTGACAGATAAGCTTGACTGACATAAATAATTTAGTTCCTCACTACCTTCCTTTTCTTCCATAACTGCTGGATATCGAGGTGACCCACAGAGTAATCTGAAATTCTCCTGCAAACAAACTCCCTGTTTGACTTTGTTTTCAGCTATTTGGAGCCTATAATTCATGGTAATGTTCCATTGGCTTCAGTAAGATTATATTCTATATTTTTATATTGTTTTTCTGCTGCAGTAAGTGATCTAAGCTCTGAACATTGGGTTTTTCCCCACCCCTCTCCCTACTGATTTTTGTCTCCCCTGAATTATCTTTATCTATCTTATAATGGATTGCCCCTGCTGTTTTTATGATCTGGCTTTTTGCTAGGAAATTGCGTTTCAGTTGTTGCCATTGATTTACTCTTGGCTAGCCAGGCTTTTTCTCCTCTTTGATGGCAGAGTGTTGCCTGGGGTTTTGTCCCAGAACTACTGTGACCCTTGGGACTATTAAATAGAAATGGAGCTGGAACAGGATCAGTAGTTCTGTCTTTCCCATGGCCTACCCACAGCTTTGGGGACATGGTGCCTTGGTGACTAACAAATAATTTGACCACAAGAGGGAACTGAGCAGCGAAGCTCAGGGCTGAGGCAGCCTATGAGCAGAGCTGGCTTTTTGTCAGCAACCGCAACCTGTGTGGCCGTGACACGGACCCTCCTGCACTGGTGGCACTGGGAGCTTGGATGCTGAGGGTTTTTGGTGGCACTGATCACTTTGCTGTTCACTTTGATACTGAACCTGCTTGATGGTCCATGTCTGTGGCATGTACCTGGTGCTTCTTGTAAGGGCATGAATGCCCTGAAGGATATTCTTTCTTCTCCTTCCCAGAGGTTCTCCCTGGTGGCCGACAAACATTGGTTAGATCCTGGCTAAGACCCCAGTTGGACACTTGGCTCCATCAAAGGAAATATAAGAAGGTGAGGAACTTCCAGGAAGCCCATTTTCTGGTGATCCCATGTAGTTTGCTCATCAGTATAACTTCACCAGTCTCTTTGTGACATGAGAGCTGATGTTAGAAAGTTCTGCCTTGTACTCGGGCCCATGTTTCTCCCTCAGGGAGATTCATCCGCCTCTGCCTGAGCTGTTGGTAGGAAATATCTGAGTCCATATGACCAACCCTTCCTCGCCAGCTCTCCTTACTCCAGGCAGAGTAACAGGAGTTGTTCCCAGTACACAACCCAGCACAGTCCTTCCTCAATGGCCTCAGCAGAGCTGAGCCAGCCGGGCAGATGCAGTGTGTCAGTGTGGCGTTAACGTATTTCTGGCTGGGTTTTGAGTTATCTGAGGGGTGGTGAAATTACAGCCTGTGGGAATCCAACTTTGAACACTGAGGGGAAAAAGCTAATATTGGCTTTTTGCTTGTGATTTCACTGGCAATGCAGGAAATTTGCAGCTGACGGGGGAAATGTTTTGGCTGCTGACCCTGGAGTGGGGTGGAGGGATTCAAGTCGAGCTATCTTATTTCATCTTTATGGTAGTGACTCACTTGACACTTGACTTTATCCTGTAATTGTAATGTTTTAACCTGAAACTTTGCAGATGGAGGACGGACACTAACGGAGCAAGATTGTTTTGCTCAGTTGGTGTGAAGAGAGCTAACCCAGGTTTGATGGCCCTCAGCCCTTGTCAGGGTTCTGTGCCAGCCTTTCCCCAGCTTTGGATCTGATCCTGTTCCCAGTGAAAGCAATGGAAATATTGTCTCATGAGAGGGTGTTTCTGGTTATCAGGTTCTCTCCAGCTCAAGGCACAGACCTGTTGTTGATGTCTGTACCCAAAGAGAACATCCTTTCAGCCTTGGCTAGAGCTGACATGGCATTTGGCTGTTGGGGAAATGCCTGGTGTGTTTCCCCACGAGGTGGAGGACATGGTGGCTGACAGCATCCAGTGTCCTCTCAGGAATATGTGACCTTGAGCAAGGTCATCTGTGTTTCTGTACGTCCATGTTTTCCAGCAATTAATGGGGCTACTGTGACATCATTATTTTCTAAAGTATATTGAAAGTGCTCAGAGATCAGCTAGGAAATAATATAGGCTGGTATATTTATGGTATTTTGGTTCAGAGATACTGAACCATTCACTCAGTCTGGCCTCTGGCTTGATGCAAACTTTCACACAGATCTTCCTATCTGGCTTCAGTGTTATGCAGTGTTTCTTTTTGACTCAAAGTTTTAGTGGGGAGAGGAGTATCCATGGGGTGAGAAGGATGTGTTTTCCAGGGTCCTGAGCTGCCTGTAAGATAGGGTAGACAAAAACATGCTATTGCAAAATTAGCAATGGGCATTTTTTTTTTCATTTAAATAGCTTTAAAAATTGTTTCTATAGGCCTGGAATCCTCACCCACTGAGTGCAGGACTGGGCTCAACATCAGATTCAATTCTTGATGAATCATTATTTCCACTACTTGTTTTTCATAATTCCTTTTGCTAATCCTCAGCTGCATTTGCATTTTCTTAGTGCTCACCATCCCCTTCATCCATGGGTACAAGTCATGAGGTGTCAACATCCTGCTTGTGTCCCTTGTGATGTTTGATGGAGCTGTAAACACAGGAGAAGATGATCTTTGGTGGGTGTAAATTATCAAAGCTGTGCTGAGATGAGTGGATCTATAGCAACTTACACCAGCTGCAGGAATGCCCACAGGATGTTTCTTTCCTGCTGGCTGGAACAGCAGAAAGCTGATGGGGGAAATGGCCTTGTGTAAGTAAGATACACAGCTGAGCAATTCTCTGCTTCTTTGTTTTGGTCTGTTAAATTTTACCTAAATAAAATCAATCTTTTGGGTTTCCATGCTGATTCCTGTATAGAGTCAGGTGTTTTACAAGCTCTGTACATCCTCTTGGACACACAGCCTGTTGAACTGGAACCCCAAGACAGATGCTCCCTGGCAGCACACAGGGACATGCTTCTGATGGAAAGGATTATCAGATTAAATAAAGTTTAGCTGCTTAAAACATGCAAATAACCAGAAACAGAGTTAATATCTGTAATTCTTACTTATTCTGGTACTGATTCCACTTGGGTTCCTTGCAGTTGGTTAAGAGATGGGAAGGCAGAGGGTTTGTTTGGATTCTGCTGCATTAACCCAATGGTGCTGTGTCAGAACAGTAAATGCACCCAAGTCAAACCTTGTCATAACAAAAGGAAATGGTTCTTTTTGAACTTAAGCTGAATTTGCAAAGCATCCTGCCCCCAATGTGTGCCACCAAAACGTTTCGAAATGGGGTCAGTCATAAACAACTTTATTTCATTCGGCTCTCCATGGAATGGGAGCAGAATGAAGGCCAGGAAAAATTATTGAATGGAAAAGCACGGGATCTTTTTAAATAGAAAAAGGAAGAAATTTCTCCTTCCCAGCTTTTCGGAAGGAATTGCAAACAATGGAGGTGAACGTAAAGCCCAAGATCCAAACCCATCTCCTGAGTTACCTCCCCTGTGTAGGCTGGAGCTCCGCAGCCATCCGGCCTCGGGCCCTGCCCCAGCCAGCGCCAGGCACATCACGTCCCCTCCTTCCCCTCCGTGTTCTGCAGCTGCATGTAAAGAATCATGGAGCCATTCAGGCTGGAAAAGACCTTTATGTGTGTGTTTCTCCCCTGCTTTCTTTCATTCAGGAGAATGTTTGCCAGTGGGCAAACACTAATCCATCCTGACAGCTCTGCCCATCTTCCTGCTTTGGTCTGGCAACCAGCAAACAGCTTGATTAAGGTCCCCAGGGCTTTATTAGTGCAGCTTGTTGCCTGCAAATTAATCAACAGGTTTCCTGTGTTTAACTCTTTGCTGGAGCTGGTTGGGAACATTTCTGCACTGCTGTGGGCATTGAATCAAGTCTTTAGAACTGGCTTTTAAATACCACACAGGAGAAATAACCCCAAGTGGTATTAGTGGTTTCTTGGGGTAGAAGGTAAAGAGATCCCGTGGGCTCTGCAGGTGCTGCTCATCTGACTTCCCATCTCTAATAGCAGTTTTAGACTTTCACTTTATTTCTCTTGGCTGTTCACCTCCCCACTCCCCTTGTAAAATATCCATTATCCATGCAGAGGGCAGCCAGATGAAACCTGTGTTTTGCTTAGGTATTCATGAGAAGTCAGATGTGCTCTGGCCCCTTGAAGTGGAAGTGCAAGCAGAAATGAGACCTTCTTGCTGGTTTAAGGTTTGTTCTGGAGCATGGGCAGAAGTTGCCAGTATGTTGTATTTTGCGGTGTTATCTCTCAGACTTGGGACTTGTCCTTTAATTGTTTGGTCTCACCATACTGGGAGGAAAAATAACTATGTAACTGCTGTGGTTTACCTAAACTTTGATAATGAGCAGAGGATTTGGGGAGCACACACTGAGTTTTCAGGTGGCTCTGCAGATACCAGGATGGAGATGACTGATGTTGTATGGATGTAATGGGTTGAACATTCTCTCATTATTTTGAAGATCACAGGATTTCCAACTTCTTACTTGCATGTACATGAGGAAACCCAGCTCCTTATCTTCATTTTCCATTTCTGTGCATGTTTTCTCGTCTCCCAGTTGCTGGAGGCCCAGTCAGTGCATTATATCTATCTGCACACTCATGCCCATTAGCACTGTGTGTATCTGGTGGACAGACAGACACTGACTGTGCTCCCACACGAGCCCTGGGAGACCAGCAACACTCCGCACATGGAATTACGTTCGATCTGATCTGGATTTCACCCCACAATGAACAATGGTGAGAACAGGCTGAGCCACGTAGTTTGTATTGATTATTTTTAGCAACAATCAAAGATGGAAGAAGAATGTGCCTGTAGGTCGGTTGTCTCCCTTAGTGGGAGGAGAGCAGCTGACAAAGGAGAGCTGCCCAGGCCATGCTCTGTGCACATTCCCCCAGGAAGGATGTGTTTCTGCAGTTTGCTCCAGTTGGACAAGAGCAGTGTGCAGTGGGGAATTTGCCAACCCTCTGCCTTCAGCAGCTGCTGAACATCTGCCTTCTGGATGACGTACAAAGTCTCACAACTTGATAATAATTTTCATGCCTATTTTACTAGAAGGCTTTAAAGCATCTTAGTGCTCGATTTCACTTTGTGAGCAGTTCATCCAGGTGTGAGCAGTTTTGTTGCACTCCATGTGCCAGTGGTGGGGGATGACAGGCACAGAGAGCAGATGTGGACAAGCCCAAGGGTCTGTGGAAGGGAGCTGTCCCTGTGCCTCTTCTAAGAGCTCCTTTCTGATCCCTCCGTAAGCTCCTGATGCTCCTGGTGCTGTCTCAGAGCTGAGAGCTCTCACCTGTCCAGGACACAGCCCTTTTCCTGGGGTGACAGGTGGTCTGTGCACTCCACTGTAGGGCTTTTCCTCCTGTCACCTTCTGTCTTCTTCTCTGACCAACCTTGGAGCCCCTTGCAGGGAGCTGATTGCTCAGTGCAGGTGCTGGTCCTTCAGCCTTACTGGTGATGGCAATTCTGTGACAGCCAGAGGTGATAAAGGCAAAGCTGCTTCTTGGGGACAAACTGGGGAGCTGAAAACTCGTGATTTAGTGCTTTATGCATTTCTGGCCTCAAGATGCACCCGTTCCCTGTGATTGCAGGAGGGCTTGTAACAGCAGCAGGAAACCAAATAGTTTCTTCTGCTTGGTTCCTTTGCCTATGGTCTGGCTCTGGCTCTTTTCTGCTTGCAATAACCAGTAAAGGTAACCCATGTGGGGTAGATCAAAAGGGCATTGCTTCCTGCCCCAGAGCAATGCAAAGGAATTTGCAAAGCCTGAGGATAGGGAGAATGAGGCTCCAAATTTGGATCCTTGGCATCTGTGGGCGAAGCAGCGTGTAGTGAACAAGAGTCGAGCTTGTAGATACCTGTACCACCACTAAGAGCTCCCTGGCAGGAGGCTGAAACACCTGCAGGAGCTGGAGTTCACCCACGATGCTGCCTAAGGATCTTCCCAGGTATCAGTAGAAAAGCATGAGCAGAGAAAGTGCTTTCTCTACCATTTAAAATGTTGTAACAGTTAACATGCTTTATGAAGAGGTTCTTTGCAGTGGATAGAGGAAAAAGTGGCAGTTCTGAAGGGTAATTTTAAGACAAATGTCTTCTGGCCATTATAGTCTTGAGGATCAAGGCAGTCTTGGGAGAGAACTGAGAGGATGAGTACCAGCAGAGCTGAAAAAATTGCTTTATGCAGGGGTCTTGTTCATAGAATTATAGAATATCCTGAGTTGGAACGGACCCACAGGGATCATCAAAGTCTAACTCCTGGCCCTGGAAAGGACATCCCAACAATTCCACTCTGTCCTTGAGAGCGTTGTCCAAACACTCCTTGAGCTCTGTCAGCCTCGGGGCCGTGGCCACTGCCCTGGGGAGCCTGTTCAGTGCCCAACCACCCTCTGGGGGAATAAGCTTTTCCTAATATCCAACCTAACCCTTCCCTGACACAACTTCAACTTGTTAACATGGTTCAGATGATCTTGCTGAGTCTGGCCTTCGCATCAGGGGCACAGCACTCAGTCTCCCATCAGTGAAGGCTTTCCCTATAGGACAGGAGTTTCCACTTTTGCCCATCCCTCAGGATATTTACATTTCTCTGTTGATGAAGGTGCTCAGGCTCAGTCTCCTCTCTCCATCCCCCTCTGCCAGCAGGGAATGTCAAAAAACCCACTAGAAACCTGCAAGCGGTGAGGTTTGGGTGCGGGAAAGGAGACATCAGCTCAGTTTTCTGAGTCGTGCCAAGCGCAGCCAGCTGGGACACATCCCCCTGTCTCAGGTCTGTCACATCCCCAGCGCTCCTCCTGTAGTAACTGCTGGCCTTTGCGTGGCGTGTGACAGCGTGGTGGCAGCTGTGACGCATCCATCAGCCGTGCCTGCTGCCGAGCATTCCTTCCTGTTGCCAGGCAAAGAGGGGTGACCTTTTCTGAGAGGAGGAGGAGATGGCGGGGAGAGCAATGGGTGGGTGGGAGGCAGTGGCAGCCTTGCATGGGGCTCCCAGGGCTGTGCTGTGCCAGGGGCTCAGGTCAGGGCTAGGTTTGGACACACAGAGTGAAGCCGGCAGTCCCTCCCACTTTGCGTGATGTCGTGGGTGCAGAAAGCCCCATCCTCACCTGCCTGCTTGGATTGAGACAAAGCTTTCCCCGGAGGGCCCTGCCATCCCTGTGGGATGAGATGCCCGAATTACGGGAGGAAGTATCAGGATGATGCTTGGTAAAATGCTATTTATGGGCTGCTGCAGATCTGACTGTATTGCCTTTGGTGTAGGAAATTTCAGGGCACCACTGTGTCCCTCCACCCTGCTCAGCCTGAGGTGAGGCACCGAGCAGCGGCAGTGGGCGGTTGGGTCTTGTGCCCTGCCGTGTGACTTGTGCATAAAATTGTCCCGTTGTCTGTACCAGAGGGGCTTTCCTGTGGCTCCAGCACCTGGACAGTGCTCTGTTTTGTGTGTGCCAATCCTGGAGTGAAACCTGGGGTCGCTTCACTAGAAAAAGAAAATCTTTTCCAGGTATTTGAGGTCAGCATGACACGGGAAACAATTATGAGCCTCTCAGTCTGGATTGGTACAAATGGTACCATCAATCCACAGAGATGGAGCTCTGTGTGAAGGGGTGAGGTGGAACAGTACCAGACATAACCTGAAATGACTTAACAAGCTGCTCAAGTTTTTAAATGCATGTGTCATTTTTTTTTAATTTAAATTTCCTCTGACATTTCATAGGCTTCATCACTCAACGTGAAGCCAAGATCCATGTGAGTGTGTGCGGTAGGATTGTTTTTAAATTTTATTTTAAATACAGATGTCTGGAATAACTTTTTTGCACACACTGTAGGAGTGTAAAGGTTTCTAAGCAACATCATTTCATGCTGTTTGCATTAGAGAATGTAAAACAGGGTTCCTTTTTTTAAAAGTCTCTGCAGTGCAGGCATAATTACAGGATCCCATTATGCAGCATTGTGTCTACGGTGAAGCCTGCCCTAATGGAATATTCTGCCTTTGCTGAAGTCTTACCTGCTTTTTACCAAGGCACTTAAGGACTTAATTAGCGTCATTATAGACTGCCACCCCCTTCCTCAGCCCTGTGCATGAAGGGATAATGATCTGTCCAAGCTAGCATGCATTCACTTCCCATGGTTAACAGCACCACATGGAGGGAGTGTTTCGTAGCTCGCTGCTGCTATCTTGAATTGAACATGGAGGAGGAGGGGGGGAAAAATGAAAGCGTTTCCTAGGAGCAATAAATATACTCTGTGTTTACTTGGCCTGGTCTTAGCCATGGAGCTGGGATGGTGTTTGTCACTGGGAGATCCCTGGGGAGCTCCTCTGTCTAAAGCCTCACGATGTGCTGCCGACTGTGGCATAGAGTGGTGCCAGCTGCCTTTGTGCTCAGCCCTGCAGGTGTGGGCTGCAGAGCACCCACATGCACTCCATCCTTCAAAAGAGTCCCCAGGAAACAGCCGGAGCCACGTGGATGCAGCAAAAGCCTTCCCATGATTTGGGATCCACAATGTGGATGTGCTGCGTGTGGGCAGCATCTTCCACTGACCTGTGTGTACATCCATGCACATGTGCCCGTATGTACGTGTGTAAATAGAATGAATGGAATGGTTGGTTTGGGTTGGAAGGTACCTTGAAGACCATCTATTTCCAACCCCCTGCCATGGGCAGGGACACCTTCCACTAGACCAGGTTGCTCCAAGCCCTGTCCAACCTGACCCTGAACACTTCCAGGGATGGGGCAGCCACAGCTTCTCTGGGCAACCTGTGCCAGGGCCTCACCACTCTCACTGTGAGGAATTTATTCCATATTCTAAACTAGTTCCTGCCTGTTGCTCTTGCTGGGCAGTAGGTGTTGGAATTGCTCTGAAAGATGTGTTCAATAGGTTGGTGTGACAGGAGGTGGTGGGGCTGGAGGGCACTGCTCTGATGCTGAGGGAAGCTGGAGAGGATCATCCTGCTGCTACATGACAGCATTTACAAAGCTCCTGTCAGCTGGATGGTCAGTTTTGATCCCTAGTGCTTTGATGCTAAACAACATTTGCACTGAGCTGCCCAATGGAGTTTTATAAACATCTGGGGGCTTTTTGCATTTTACGAGATGAAGAGTGTTGGCTTTTGTACTAGAGACGGGGCCAAAGGAGTTTTTATTGCTGGTTAGGTAACTTCTCTGGCATGTTGCATTGGGAGCTCTAGACATTATTAATGAGGTGTGTGAGTGCTATGGTGCATGTGTTGTTTTGTGTAATGGCTGTTGCTGCTGAGCCCTGTGCCAGGATGTGTCCATAGTGTTTTCCTACAGGTGTACAACTCTCAGCCCCCTTCACCTCTTGTGTCCTTCTTACCCAACCTGCTTCAGGGTCAGTGCTCCCCCAGCAAGTTTCTTCTGGAGTTTTGCTAACATCTTGTAGGGAGGAAATCTACCCATAACCTCTGCTCTTTGTAGTTCTCGGTTCAGGTGGGAAGGGAAACTAAGGGAGTGGTCAGGGGGTTGGGAGGTGGTCCTGTGGGATGTGGCACTTCTGGACATGGAGCTGAGCTGCATTCAGAGAAGCTTTTTGATGGCTTGTGGCCCAGCTCTTATGAAAAGTAAAGATAAGAAAGAATGAGCTGTGATGCTGATGAATTTTCCTTGACTCACTTGAAATCCTGAATGTCACCTGCTTGCTCCCTCACCTCAGCAAATGGGGTCTGGCCTGGGATGATGCAAGGAAGTCACCCATGCTGGTGAGGAACCTTCAAAGTCCAGAGCTGCTTCAGGGCCTCCTCATCCTGGTCTAGGGGAAGGTGTCCATGCCCGTGGCAGGGTGTTGGAACAAGATGATCTTTAAGGTCCCTTCCAACCCAAACCATTCTGTGATTCTACGATCTCCTACTCTGCTTTGCTTATCCAGGATGACTCTCCTGCACTGTGTGCTCCTAGGAAGGACTGCTGCAGTGATGCAGTGCCTGTTGTTTTTTATACAAGAGCCACTTGGCTTCTTCTCTGGCTTTTGCAGCCTCTGCCCTCAAGGAGCTGTGTGTGATCCCTGCTCAGATGGCTGGGGACATCTCCTCAGCCTCTCACCCTGCCCCACAGAGCAGTGCTTGACATGTTATACATCTGACACAGGTGGTGCAGGCAGTCCTGGCCCCCAGCACAAAGCCCCTCCAAACTACAGCTGTCCCTCGTGCTTTCCAGGGAGGTGGCCGGATGTCTCGGGCAGTGCACGTTCCATTTTGCTTCATAAACACTGAAAATGGTGCCAGATGGAGCTTTATAGGTTCACATCATCTGCCCTATGCTCCGTGTATTTTAAACAAACCTGGGAGGGGGTTTGGGCTGGATCCTTGTTTGTTCTTGAAGGAATTGATGCGGGCTTCAGAGTCCTCATCCATCCATCTTCCATATGGAGATAAAAAGTTTTGGCTGAACACTGCTAAATGTGCCGTCATCTATCACAGCGGAGGCGGGATTGTGTCAAGGAAAAATAATCCACCATCAGGCTCAAAGGAAGAAAAAGAGGGGAAAAAAAAAGAAGAAAGAAATAAGATTTCCAGTAAAATGCATTGCTTTTAAAAATCCAATTCACCCTTTGCCAAGTCATTGTTTGGTTTTAGACTTGTTTCACATGAAAGCAACCTTTAAAGGTTACTTTTATCCCTCTTTAATGAGCTATAGAAATGAGCCTGGCCTGCTACAGGGCAGAGGCCAGGGATGGGACCGCGTGTGGAGTTGATGCTCCCCTTTGGAGTGGCTCTGTGAGCTGTACCATCAGCTCCCTGGCTGCCAAATTCTGTAGCCAGCAGCTTTCAGCAAGAGAAATGAAAGAGGATCATTGATGTATATCTCTCCCCTTACTGTGGTGGAAATTATATATGCTGCAGTGTGTGTGGGAGACAGAATAGACATTGCTGTGTGTATTTTTATGAAGCATTCTGGATCCTGGGGGCCAAGTTTCCTGGCACCCCTCCTGTGCTGGGTGCTGAACTCTTTGGAGATGTGTCCCAGCTCTTGGAAACCTGGCCCCTACAGTGAGCATTAACTATCTGCAGACCTGGCCCCCATCCTGCCCATGTGAGCAAGGGGAGACCCAAATCCCCACCCCAGGAGAGTCCTGTGCTGCCTCTTCTTTCCTCTGCGCTGCCCAAGTGTGTTTTGGTGGCAGCCAGGGTGTCTGAGCACCTCTGCAGGGATGGACTGTCCCAGCCCTGACCAGCAGGACAGTGTCCAACTCCTTAAGTGCCTGGCTTTGCTGTCACAGGTGGGCACAAACGGGGCTCCCTCAGCTCCACACAGTAGTGTGGCTGCATGAGCTAAAAAGGACAGGCAAAGACAGCAGCAGGGTCTCTAAACAAGGCTCAGCAATGTGTGTCTGTGGATTGAGCTCTTCCTCTTTCCACCAGATAATCTTTTCTGCCCAGGCATCACACATGAGCGATTTCAGAGCCCCCCAGCCCAGCTGGGAAACCTCCCAAACTGTGGCACAGCCCTTCCAGTCCGAGGGCTGCTGCATTTTCTCGCTCTGCTTCCAATGGCTGTGCTAGTGAAACATCTCTCTCATTTTTCTTCAGATGCACGTCACACTGTTTGAAGCTGTTAGGGGAGACCTGGCTGATGCAGAAGGAGCAGCAGTGGGGGGTAAACAAGTGGTGCCGTGCACAGAAAACCCAATGCACTTGTGCCTCGTTGTGCTGGTGTGGTTGTGTGTTCTGAGACAGGACCCTTTGGAAGAGCCCCGTCTGCACCAGGGTTGAAGGCAGCTGTGAGGGGCTTGGTGGTGATGCTGCCTGCGCTCCAAGAGGGGTGATTTTCACATCCCCACTGCTGGGATGCCAGCAGCAGTTTGCAGT